CCCTCCTTCCCTCCTTCCCTCCTTCCCTCCTTCCCTCCTTCCCTCCTTTCCTTCTTTCTTTGCCGGGGATTAGACTCAGGTCCTTACATGTATCAAGCATGTGTTCCTCCACTACCCTTTGGGTTTGTATAAGATTTTCTCATGTAGGCCACATCAATTATTAACTCAGTCTGCAACCCTTCTTCCCTTCCTGGGGGATGGTGTTAAAGTTCCAAGCTTGTGATCACAACTTGGTCTTTCTGGTAACCAGTCCTCTTTAGGAGCTCACCAGGGTTACCTCCTTAGAACGGATCTGTTTGTATCACCCAGGAAATTGAAAGGGTTTGGGATCTCAGTGCCTGGAACTGTGGGCAGAGACCAAATATATATTTTTTATTATGTCATAGAAATACATTTGAGCTTTGGGAGATTTTACTTGAAATGAGGCTTCTACTATCTCCAGAAGTTTGTAGCCTGTACCTTAAGCACAACTGTGGCAGGGTTACCAAGCCTCTAAGACCCGTCCCTACACAAGTGGCCTTGTGGACAAGCAGAGATATGCCTGAGTCTTTCCTACCTTGAAGAAGACCCTTTCGAGGCCAGGTTTGGATCTGGGCATAGGATAGGGGCTGAGAGCGGGGGCTTCGAGTACTACCCTGTCCTGTACCTGCTGAGTAACTTAGGGCATGTCATCAGCTTGTGCCTCAGTTTCCTCAGCTGGGAATGAGAGTGGCTTCTCCCCTGGGGCTGGTGTCACCCACGCACATCTCCTCACACATGCAAGTGCTCATAAAAGGCATATGTGAGTGCTCAAAGCCAGCTGCTGACAGAGGCACCACAGAGGGCCTTCCTCAGCAGCATTCTACCAGGTGAGTCCTTCCCCCCTTGGACTTGGGTCCTGGGCTCCCTCTCCATGGGCAGTCGTCAAGAGGAAGCAGGGGCCTTTTTTTTAGGTACTGGGGATCAAACTTGGGTCCTTGGGCTTGCACAGCAGGTGGTGAAACCACTGAGCTAAATCCCCGGCCCCTTGCAGGGGCCTTTTTCTAGATGGTCTTGTGGCTCACAAACACTCAGCACTCAGCACTCAGTTACTTTTTTGGGGGTGGGTAATGGGGATTAAGCTCATGGAGCTCTGAGCTACCTCCTAGTCCTTTTGTTTTGGTACTGGGAATCAAACTCAGGAGCTCGAGGCAGGTGGTGGAACCACTGAGCTAAAGCCCCGGCCCTCTTTCCAGTCCTTTTTATTTTTTTAGTTTTGAGACAGGGTCTCTGTAAGTTGCCCAGGCTGGCCTTCTTGAACTTGGTATCCTCCTGTCTCAGTCTCCTGAGTAGCTAGGCTTGCAGGCGTGTGGTACCATGCTTAGCTACTCTTTTTAGTGACACAAAGCAATGCACGGGGGTATGTACTTAAGCTAATTCAAAGTTACAGGAGTATTTAGAGTGACCAGTGTGAGCCCCTCTCCCCTTGCCTTATACCCCATGAACCCTGGGATGAATGTGTTGCCCTGCTGAAGCCTGAGGTAGTATGACACTTGGGTCTGATGCCCTCATTGAGACTCCTGTGTGGTGCCACACTGACAGTTGGATAGGGGCTCCTATGATTTCTGAGATATTCTTGTGCTCAGCTACATGGGAGGAGCCTCAGGTTCTGGGGAGGTGCCTTGGGGCTACCCACAAAAGGGGTGAGGGGCAGGATCAGATGGGGCTGATACAGGTGAATGGCCCACCTCCCCCATACTCAGCAGCCCACCCAGCTGTGCTGCTCTATGTCCTGCATGAGATGGATATTGGGGCGAGGGTCCTACTGCCTCCAAAAGAGCTGGAAAGTGGAGGATGGTCAGCCAGCCAGTTGTAGCTACCCCTGGATTGTGCTCCAGACCCCCAGGGACTGGGTGGCAGTAGAAATGCCACATTCCCCCCTTCTTCAGATGTGGCATGAGGCCTGTTTCCCCTCCCAGTTTACTGACTCTAGTAATGCCAGAACTAAAATCACTTGGATAAAGAAGCAAGGAGACCTAGGCTAGGATGCCATGCCTGGGAACATAGACTCTTGCCAGCTGGAAATGTTCTGTCCTGAGTTAGAGGGCTGGTGACTCTCTGATCCTTCCCTGGCCCCCTTTCCATTTCTCCTAGCAAAGAAATGGAGGCTTAGACAAAGGGGTGTGTTCAACTGTGAGAGAAGAGCCCGGTCTGCTTGAAAGCAGCCTCCGTGGCTGGGGCTTCTTTCCTGAGCTCTTTCCCACAGTCTGATGACAAGGGCAGGGTCTCCCCTGTCTGTGCACATGACAGTGTCACCCCTAGCCTCCTAGACCCTGGAGAGTGTCCTTTGTCTCAAAGACCCAAAGAAGCCTCAAGACAGGGAGGGTGGAGGGGGCAGAGGAGGTGCTAAAGGTTGTGAGTTGGATTTCTGAATGGAAGACACCAGAGTGTATCAGGATTGGAAATGTGAGTGTCCTGGAACCCAGCTGATCTCTGCTAGCAGTCTGCTCTAGGGATCCTTGTATGTGGGGCTGAGATGCATGAAACACTTCTAGGAAAAACAAAATAGTGGAAACCACCTGGTGTCCTCTGGTACTCTGCATGGCCCAGAGTGTGGAGCTGCGGAGTGGTTCTGGGACACAGCACCTTCTGTGTGATGGTGGTGGGGCAACTTCAGAAAGGGAAAGAGCAAGGGCCAGGGATTTAGCTCAGTGGCACCATGCCTGCCTCGAAAGCACAAGGTCCTGAGTTCAATCCCCTGGACCAAAAGAGAAAAAAAAAGAGGAAAGAACAGAGTGTAGGTGGCTGCTACCTGGACACTGTGAGGGTGTGATGGGCATTGACAACTCAGGAGTCATTCCAGGGTGCTCTTCTGGAATGGGGGCAGGAAGCAAGTGTGAGGGGCAGAAGGGAGGACTGTGTACTCATTCAGAAAAAGTAAACCCAGTAGACAGGTGTACTATGTTTAGGAAGGTAGTAGAGGAATTGTAGGGAGCGCGGAAAGGGGACTTACCAGGACCTCTGCCCTGGGTCCTGGCCTGTGAGCCACCACAGCACAAAGTAAATTCAAGAACAGACAGAAACAAGACTTAGAGTGGAGAGGCCGAGTCTTGGGTCCTGGTCAGTGCTCCTGATGGCAGCAAAGACAAAGGCCCCCAAGCACATCCGGTATTTATTGAATACAGTCGTGGGAAGGAATAGGGAGGTAGGGAGCTTTGGAGTCATCTAGTGAATTCCTGCCGAACACCTGACATGATGGCGCCAGACAGGGCTGTCAGGAAGTTGGCACTGCTTGTCTTGCTAGGGTAGAAGAAACCGTTACTGGGACCAGGCACAATTAGCAAGCATCCCACAAGGTCAGTGAGAAGCGATAGTTCAGGGGAAAGGGTTTTAATTGGGGTCACACTGACCTCAGCTGCACGTAACTCAGAAGGGTCCTGCCACTTCACAGACCAGGACTTAGGTGTCGGTGACAGCAATTAGCAAAGGAGCAATACTAGCCCATCTCTGCTAGCTGACATGCCCGTTTGAGTCACTCAGGGCTTCGGTGTGATTCCTGATGTAAAACAGTATAGCTAAATTATGGAAGGCAAGAAACAGGTGCCACTCATAGCCCACTTGTACCAGGCAAGGATGTCTCCTGCAAGGAATCAGGCAGGTGTGAGCTCTGGAAGAATCTGTCACCAGGCAGGACTGGGCAGAGGCATGTGTCCAGCAGAGGGAGGCTGTGGGAGCCCTCTAAAGAGCAAGGGCAGCCCAGCCAGATCAGGGAGGAAGGCCCAAGGGTGGGCGCAGGCCTCGGCCCTGCAATGGTTTCACCCATCTCTGCCACCCTCAGGTACAGCCCCAAGAGCCCGGCCCTGCAGTCGGAGACCATCCACTACAAGAGGGGAGTGAGCCAGCACTTCTCACTGCCTTCCTTCAAGATCGACTTCTCCGAGTGGAAAGACGACGAGGTAGTTCTCAGCAGAACCCTTCCTCCTCCTGTGTTCTTTCCCAAAGCATGGACTTTGGTGCCTGCTGGTGAAATCCCTCTTGTTGGTGAGCACTAGGAGTGGCTACCCAGGTCAGTGTCAGGTGAGGGACCAAGGTGGCTGATGTCAGCTGCCTAGGTGAGTGAGGCTGAGCAGGGAGCAACTATCAAGGAGATCGGGTACTGGCTTTGGGGAGGTGTAAAAGATGGGGCCCCTGCATTGTCATTGGCCCTGGGAGATGTGAGGGTGGGGCCCCTGAATTGACTTCAGCCCCAGGTGCAGGCTTTAGGTAGGTGTGAAGGCAGGGTCCCTACATTGTCATTGGCCCAGGACAGCAGCATGGCAGTGTCTGTTAAAACTGCGTGTCGAGGCTGGGGATTTAGCTCAGTGGTTCTGCTGCCTGCCTCGAAAGTGCAAGGTCCTGAGTTTGATCCCCAGTACAACAAAAAGGCACAGTGGACCTGCAATAAACTCCATTTATAAAAAACAAAAACAAACAAAAAACTGGGTGGCACCCCTTCAGTCCTTTTACTTTTGCTTCTTTTCTAAATCGTGCTGTAGACAACTCTGTCAGCACTTACAGTCCTCCTTAGAGGCCCCTTTCGTGGGTTACAGTTTCTTTGCCAGTCTCCCTACCCCATTGCTTCCATTTATCCTCCCTCCTTTGCGCTGTACCTTATTTCCCAGTATCTGGCTTCTGTCCTTTTGCTGAGGGGAAACTGAGGCTTGGGTCAAGGCTTGTTCACACTGAACAGGTGAGGAACCAGATTCTTACCGAGTATGGCTCTGTGCCAGTACCTCCCTCCCCATGTCTTTCCCTGCTGGTGTAGACCAGACCCTCAGGTACCTCACCACCTTCTCTATGCAGCCCCTGTACCTGTGTCTCCACCTGGCCACTTCTGACCATGTAGGCATCGGTCTCTGTGCCCTGGGCTCCAGTGGCCCAACTTGTGACCTTCCCTCAGGATCACTGTGGAACCAAGCCTTTGTGGACTTGGATTGCAGGTCCTCTGGTGTGGATGGGGTAGTTGAGCATGGAGCTTGTGGTCTCTGAACAGCTGGAAGCCTTGCTGTAGCTCTCTGCCGGTGGAGCAGGGGTGGCAGCTGTGAGGCTGGTGTCCTTGTGCTAGGACGAGCAGCCGGACTGGTTGCTGATGTGGTGTCACCACAGCATGGACATAGCCCTGAGCAACCTGGGTGCTGGCACCTTCACCTTGTGCTGGGTGGCCTCCCTAGGCTGCAGTTGGACATTTCTGTTACCTGCATGTTTCTTCTGGTCCTTCCTCTCTGACTGCTCTTTAGTCTGTTCCTAGTCCTTTTTTTCTGTATTCTCAGTAGGAAATCCCATGTTGACAAATCTCAGGAAGAAACAGTTTCCTCTTCTGTAAATGTTCCCAACTGTAAAAGCCCCCACCACCAGTGTCTCTGTGTGTGCCAGGTGGGAGGACTTCACTTACACTTCATTGTTGAAACTCTATGTGGTAGGTGCAATAGTGACCCCATTTTACAAAGTGGGAAAGTGAGACTCAGAAGATTAAAAACGAGATTCACCCTGGGCCACTGGGTGGGGACGTGCCCAGGCTTTGCTTCTGCTGCCTACCTCATGAGGGACACCTGGTGAAGGAAGACAAGACTGCGTGTCCTGTGCTCCAGGCTAGTTCAGCCTAACCCTCATGGAAGAATAGTGACCTGGTCTCTACTGAGGTGCTATTCTAATTGGGGCTTTGTAGTTTCTGGATGTCTCCACTCCCAGGGAATTTTTTTTTTTTTTTGCACTGGGGATTGAACTCGGGACCTTGTGCTAGCGAGGCAGGTGGCAGAACCACTGAGCTAAATCCCCGGCCCTCCCAGGGCATTTTTAGTGGTGGGCATAGGGTGCCAGTGTGCCAGCCCAGGAGCCGCTCCAGTGTGACATCCCACTGTGCAGGCAATTGTTGGTGCCTCTTTCCCTGTGCAGTCCTGGCTAAGCAAGGCAGCTCTTTGAATTCTGGAGGTAGAGTACTCTTCTCCTTGGCCCCACTGCAGGAGCCTGAGCTGGAGCCACCATCACTGGCCTTTCCTCTTACTTTTTTTTAACTGGAACATGTTGTAGGACATAATGATTATATTCATCACTAGGAGTTGGCACATGTATGCAAAACATCTTAATTCTTCATCTTCCCTCTCCTACCTCCTTCTCTTGGGGCCCTTTCTTTTTGATGTCTCATCTATTCTATGTTCTTTGCTTTTTAACAGCTTTGTGTGATATAATTCACAATACAGGCCATTCATTCCAAGTGTATGTATAGATTGGTGTTTTTTAGTATGTTCATTGTTTAACTGGCTTCCATTCTTTTAGCAAATCTTTATTGAGACTAAACAAACAACTGCATGTGTCTTATCAGACACCAAGAGGGTCATGGCAACCAGGGCTCCATCCTCCACAGCTTCCGTACAGCAAGAAGTCAGGTGGACTGAGGATCACCTGGTGACCATCCTAATACAATGGGTTTGGTGACTCGGAGAACACAAGAGCCAGTGTTTATTGGGGGCCCACTTACATGTGGGGGTTCAGGGAAGCCTTTCTTGAGGCCCAGAGCAGGGGTTAGCTGGTAGGGCATATGGTGAAGATCAGCATCTGCGCGGAGTAGATCTATACCAGCCAGAAAGCTGAGTCTGCTGTGGTTGGGCTTGGAGCCAGAGCTGAGGCTGAGCTGAGTTTTTGGGACCTTTTGAGCCAGAGGTAGAGCACCCTTCACCTAAGAGTAGCAAGGAGGCTTCTCCTTGACCTGGGACTAACTGTGCACTCTCCTTTGACTCTAGTGAGGGCCAAGCCAGATGGCTTTTTTCAACCACTTCAGCTGTTTAATATGACCCAGCTCTCTGAGGGAAACACCTAAGAGAATGGAAAACAAAGATGCAAACATATTTGTACCTAGTGACTATAGCAGCCCTGTTCATGATGGCAGTGATGTAGAAACAGCCCCAGAGAATGGATAAACAGAATGTAGTTCATCCATACAGTGGAATACTGTACAGCTATGAAAAAGAGTGAAATTATGATATACACTTCAACATGGATGAACTTTGAAAGCATTGTACTCACTGAAAGAAGTCAGGCATGAAAGGCTCAAATTGCATGATTCGACTTACAGGAAATGTCCAGAACAGGCACATCCACAAAGACAAGAAAGGATGGTTGCCAGGGGCTGAGGGAAGGGAGTGGGGAGTTAATGGCTAATTCATAGTTTGTTTTTAGTAATGAAAACAATTTGGAAGTGATGGTGGTGATAGTTGCATTACACTGTGGGTGTCCTTGACGCATTCTGTCCCCATCCTTTGATCTTTGTCTGATGCCATCCTGTTACCTGCTTTTCCTCCATCTCAGTCTTTGACAGCCACAGGTCCTGACCATTTTTGCCTCCTTTCCTCCTCAGTTGAACTTCGACCTGGACCGGGGCATATTTCCAGTGGTCATCCAGGCCGTGGTGGATGAGGGAGATGGTGAGCAGTGTTGGCCTTTCCCATTACTCCTGCCTTTTGAGTGTGTATGGGCCCCACTGTAGGGAAGAGGCCATTCCTGGGGCCGTTCCCACCTCAGCCAGCAAGAGGAGTCCCTTTCACAAGGGATGAAGGGCTGTGGAGTGGCTGTGTAGGGGAGCTTGGAGGACAGGGAGACCAGGGAGCTACTGGAGGAGGCATAAACCCCTGGGCAGAGGTGGACAAGATGAGGATGAGCCCTAGAGCAGCTCTGGGTGCTTGCCCTCAGGTGCGGCTCTGGAAAACCATGCTGGAAGGGAAGGGGCACAGGAAGCTAGGCAGGCAGCAAGTTCACTTTGCCCTACACTTTGGCATGACTGCTCTCCCCTCTGTGGTCTCTGTCCCCTTTCAGTTGTGGAAGTGACCGGCCATGCCCATGTGCTTTTGGCTGCCTTTGAAAAGGTAAGTGTCGTCCCAGTTGCTGTCCCGGGAGCAGGGGCAGAGGGATAGGTTTTGCACTTGATCTTAGCCAAAAGGCTGAGAAGCGATGAGGGGTAGGTTTTGAAACCAAAAGCCTGAGGTGTAGGGGTCAGGGCTTGGTACAGGGGGGCAGGTGTCCATCCTGGACAGGTGGAAGATTCTCTGGTCATTCCTTGATTCCCAGGAGACTAGATCTGAGGCTGAGTGTGTACCCACTGAGAAGCTTTTCAGAGGGGATTTGGAGTGACAAGGGGAGGACATTCTAGAATGAGGCTAGCCCTGTGGATCCTTTAAAACCTTCCTACACAGGCTAGGAGGTGGGCAAGGTCCGTTTGCCATAGACTTAACATTTCACTGGGGTGTGAAAAGTGTCAAGGTTGTTGCCTCTTCCTGTCCTGGCTCTTTCCCACCAGGCCTGGTGTTCTCAGGTGTCACCTGGGACCTGTCATAGTACCTCCTGGGTGCACTGCCCCTCTTCATTTGCCTGTGCTCTGCCCCTTCTACCTGGCACCTTGACCCCGCTGGACCAGGCAGGCCTTGTTCTGTGGGAAGCCTTTCCTGCCCCACTTGGTAAAACACTGTCCTTTCTTGTTTGATGTCTGTGAGGGCAGAACTGGCCTCTGATTTGTCATTGTAGCCTCAGCTGGCCATGACCAGGCAGAAGATGATCAGTGATAATGCTGGGGTGAATGAGGGTCTGCTGCCTCCTAACACAACCCCAGACCTATGTAGGTCCCTGCTCACTGAGAAGCTTGCTGGAGGTAGGGAGTATGTGATAATGCCCCCCCGACCCCACCCTTCCTATGCCCTTTGAATTTCCCCAGCACTCTGCAGTTGTGAAGTGTTTCAGTACCAGGAGACCAGGACCTGGTGGAGAACAGGCTCCGGCTCAGGACTTACCACCATACCTGTGTCCTGTGGGCCCCAGCCTTGCCCTTGCAAGCTCCTGCAGCCCCTGAGTGCCTTCCCTGCGGAGTCCAGGGGCTCTTCAGGGATGGGTCTGGGGCCTCTCTGACTTGTTTATTCTGTGGTGAGGTTGAGTGTGCTTTCCCAGGCCGAGCTGTAGACAGCGCTGATGTGAGTCCTCTGGGTAGAAGCCAGCCTCCTCCCTTTGCAGCCCTGGGTCCCCCAGCTGTTCTTCCCAGGGCTGCCCTGGTTAGAAGACATGGTAACCAGGATCAGGCTACTGGACCACATAGCCAACCTTATGAAAGTCTGTGCATGCCATGCCCTATTACTAGATGACTAAAATGGGTACAGAGTCCACCTTTAACATCGGGCCATTTAGCACTTTAAAGCAAGAACCTTGGTGAATGCTGTGTGGATCAGGATCCACTCTCACTTGGAAATCTGGACAGTCAGCATCTGTGTGAACCAGGGCAGTGATGGTGATGGGATGAGCTTGGAAAAAGAATGGGGAGTTAAAATCAAGAATAAGGATATACTTCCACCCTCCATAACTAATCAGTTCATCAGTGAACCGGTGACTGCAAACCCAGGAACAACACCTGGCATGGGCCCAGGGTTGTGTTAGAATTACAGCCAAACCATATGTAAAGTGAATTGTGACTTTTGGTACTTGAGACACATTTGGTCTTGCTGATTTGGAACCTCCTATGCTGATGGGGAAGATGAACGCAAGCTTAGAGGAGATGGGACCAGGGTGTCCTTTCTGTGTGTCCTCTAGAATTCCTTTCTGGCCATGACGTTCATGGAGCCACTGGACACAGGGCTCTCAAGAGGAAGCAAATTCAATACATGTGCAGGAAGCCTAGAGGAAGACTGCCTTAGCCCTCCTTTTAACCTGGAGTGGGCAGTGAGGACAGAGCAGAAAGTGCTGCTGTAAAACCTGGAAGGGCAGAGGGAGAGGGCTGTCTTCTTACTTCCCACTTTGTATATGCTAGAATAACTTTGTCTCCATGTTCAGTTGGTACCTGTGAGGGAGTCCTGTCCTACCAGATACCTTCCCTCAACATCCCCAAACCTCATCAGAATCTCTTATGCAAAATTCCCAAGTCATATGAACCAACAAAAGCCAAGCACTGTGACTCATGGCAGATGTAGGAGGAGGAAAGTGTAGGACTTGGGGAAAAGATTGGGCATAACTACAAAATGGAAAGGAGCTTACATACAGTGTCTCAAAGCCAGGAGATTTCTAGTTCTTACTCCCATGTCATTAAAATACGAATCAGTCTTTCTCTCTCTCTCTCTCTCTCTCTCTCTCTCTCTCTCTCTCTCACACACACACACACACACACACACACACACGAAGAGATACGGTAACTACACATCTGCATTTTCTGGCTGAGGCAGAGATGGACTGTTGTCTCTGGCAAGCATTCTATTCTGTGCTTCCAACTTAGAGCCCAGTGAGAAGCCACTTTATTTTTGTAGTCCTACATTCTAGAAATTTCCCTAAGAATCCATCAGCCTTACCAGACAATCCTGAGCGCTGGTCTTAACTCATGGAGCATAATTAGTGTTGTAAGATCTCAGGTCTAATACTGTAATTAACCTTGTCAAACTGAGCTGCGTATTTCCCTGGATACTGCTTGTTCTAACATTTTTAACACTCTGAGCCATACTGTTTATGTATACGTGGGCATGCACGTGTGCTGGCTTCCTAAAAAAGGCAGGCCCTCTGAGAGCAGGAACTTCTTTGTGTTAGTTTTTGCCATCTGAGTGCTGCTTTGGGATGTTGGGAAACCCTGAGTAGTCTTGAGCTTGAGTGTGATGGTAGTGGTGGTGGGGCCTCTGGGTGGTTTTCGGTTTGAGTTGCATTTGTAGGGCAGGACAGGGCCCAGGAGCTAGTATTTTTAGAAAGTTGCCCAGGTAGTTTTGGAGCCAGGCCTGAGGACCATAGTTGGAGAAATCCTGACCCGGCTCCTTAATCTTCACATTGTTCCTTTTGTCAACTCTTGATATGTATTGGCCAGGGAAGGCCTCAGCTGGCCAAGCTGGAGTGCTTGGAGTTGCCAGTTTGACCTAAAATTTAACCTGTGTCTCTGCGTCTTTCCCCCACAGCACGTGGACGGCAGCTTCTCTGTGAAGCCGTTAAAGCAGAAGCAGATTGTAAGTGTCAGGCAAAACATCATAACTCCTTTTGATTTAAAAGACATGCACATGGGTACACGTGTCTGTAGGCTCTGTGGGCTGTTCTTCCTTGGCCATAGTAGCTGTGCAGGAGCCTGTGACATGGAGGTGCACCCCTCTTCGGTGCTACATTCCACAATGTCAAATTCTACATCTTGGGGTAGTAGGCATGGGTTGCACACCACTGTGTAGCATGGTCACTCTTGTCGGCCCCGAGTCTTGTCTGGGTTGAACCAAGGTGCCTGGAACAGTTAGCACTCAGTAAATACTTGCTGGGTGGGTAGAAGAGGGAGGAAAGACAGAAAACAGAAAGGCTGCAGCTTCTTCTCTCATACACTGCCGGAAACGAGGCAGTGTTCGGCAGACCTGGGTTGACTTTGCCACTTTTTTGGAAGGAAGGATGGAAAATCTTAGAACAGGTAAAAGCTGTAGACTAGTGCAGGGTTTTTTTGAGATCATTAATTTTATGGTTGATACTGGGATGCCATTCCTGGTGGCCTTCTATTTAAAGCACTATGAGAATTTAGCAGGGGTGGGAACATGGGCAGGGTTGCTGGGCAGAGGAGGTTTCCATGCCCTTCTCCTGGCATATGCCCACCACCTAGGAGTAGAGCTGCACAGGCCCACAGGATTCCCAGCCACCCTTGCCCTGGGCCCATTTTCTGTACCTTGGAGGTCATGTAGGCTCAGATGGGTGCAAAGGAGCCCTCTAATGGGCCCTGGCCAGGCCCACCACATCTTTTCTGTCCTCAGGTGGACCGAGTCAGCTACCTACTGCAGGAGATCTATGGCATCGAGAACAAGAACAACCAGGAGACCAAGGTGTGTCCTTGTGGGAACCTGCCTGGACTCTAGGCCATCCACCCCCCCCCCGACATACAGAAGCCAACTCACGGGGATGCATTGTTGTAATCATCCAGAGGGGTGTGTGGAAAGAACCAGTTTCCTTCCTATCTTCCCCTGGAGGCCCTGGACTCCCAGGTAGCATTATTTTTTTCTTAATTATTTTTATTTTTTTTTTGGTACTGGGGATCAAACTTGGGTCCTTGTGCTTGCACAGCAGATGGCAAAACCACTGAGCTAAATCCCCGGCCCTCTTAATTCTTTTTAAAAAGTTAAATTTTAAAAAAAAAAAAAAAAAAAAAAGTTAAAGTTTATGAGACATTTTGTCCTTTTTGTTTGCAGGTTCATTTTGCAAACTTTATCTATGTCCTCCAGAGCAGCCTGGGACCGAGGGACCATACTTCCTCCACTTCTTGTGCTGCCTTGGGTCTTTTCCTTGCAGTCAGTGGTCACCATCACTGCTCCCTGCTGGACACCCCCTGCCTCCCTGCAGCCTGGTCAAGGGACTAGGGAGCAGAGTGTGAAAGTGGGACCTAGTTGACCTCATTTTTTTTTGAAGGCACACCGTGTGAATTAAGCTGCTCACTGTTGTTTGTTTGTTTGTTTTTTGGTACTGAGGATCAAACTCAGGACCTTGTGGTTGCAAGACAGGCGCGGTGCCACTGAGCTAAATTCCTGGCCTTGATCACTGTTGTTTTAAACCTCTGAAAGTCCTACTCCAGCTGCAGTGAGCAAGCCAGAATCAGGCATGGTCTGCTCATCCACATGCTTTATGGCAGTGTCTGGGTAATATTTTATGAAGGACCAGAAAATAAATATTTTTGGCCTTATGGGCCATATGGCTTCTGTGGCATCTACTCAGAACTGCAGCTGTTGCTCCTAAGCAGCTATAGACAACATAGAGGTGTGGCCACGTTTCAGTAAAACTGTATTTGCAGAAGTATGTGGCAGGTATAGTTTTTTGATGCCTGTTTAAAACTTTTTCTCTCAATCCATGTGCTGGTTTGCTTTATGGAAGCTTTGATTATTTAATGATATTATTTATTTAATGATATCTCCAACAAGTTAGGCTTGTTTGTTTTTATCAGTTTGAGTTCATGGGTTCCCGGACCATTGTAGAGATGTGTTCCTCGTTCTGGTTTTTTTTTTTTTGGTACCGGGGATCGAATTCAGGACCTTGTGCTTGCCAAGCAGGCAGCAGAACCACTGAGCTAAATCCCCGGCCTCTCTCTCTCTTTTTTTTTTTTGTTTGTTTGGTTTTTGGGGTATTGGGGATTGAACCCAGGACTTTCACACTGAGCTACATTTCCAGCCCTTTATCTTTTTTTTTTCTTTTGGTACCAGGGATCAAACTCAGGACCCTGCACTTACAAGGCAGGTGCAGTGCCACTGAGCTAAATCTCTGGCCCAGCCCTTTATCTTGAGACAGGGTCTTGTTAAGTCCAGCTCAGGCTGGACTCAAACTTACCATCTCCCTGCCTCAGCCTCGCTGTGTGGCTGAGTGCTGGGATTAGAGGCATGTGTCACCATACTTGGCTAAGATGTGTCCCTTAGCAGTGCATTTCTTCGGCATTTTCTCTTTGGGTGTATGGAGCAGAAAGAGGGCCACATTCTTGTGGTTTGGGGAGGGGAACAGGTTCTCCCTTCTAAATAAGCCTGGTGGCCACCCTGGTTCTGAGCTGTGGCTTCTCAGAAGTTCTGCCTGGTACCCCACCCATCTCTGGGCTTCCCATTGCCATGGCAGCCCCTAGGGAGTGTGAATGGTAGTGGCATAGCTGGGCATAGGAAAGTGTGCTCCAGGCAGTGTGACACTTAGCCTTTGACCCTCAGGAGGCCGCTGACCCACAGGCCCTTGTTCCCGCAGCCCTCAGACGATGAGAACAGTGACAATAGCAGCGAGTGCGTGGTGTGTCTGTCAGACCTCCGGGACACGTTGATCCTGCCCTGCCGCCACCTGTGCCTCTGCACCTCCTGTGCTGACACGCTGCGCTATCAGGCCAATAACTGCCCCATCTGCCGGCTGCGTGAGTGCACCCAGGGCCTGCGCCTGGAAGGTTCTGCCCACCTGGCAGCCCTGGTCTGGGTAGTTTGTGGGAGCTGTCCCCTGTTGGTACCCTTGGTCTTTAAACAGAGTGATGTTGCCAGCAGTGATTAAAGTTTGTGTCCATACTGGCCTCACTGGTATGGGGTGTTCCAGAGTAAATGTGTATAGTGATAACTTGAACTAGGTAGAAATTGATCAGTGAATGAAATCTTTATTTTAAAGGTTATATAAAAAGACTTTGATTAAAAATTAAAGTGAGTTGAAGTTAGGCCACCCGTCACTATCTTGGACTCAGGAAACTAGTAAGGTCATGGCTAATAAGAGGCAGAGGTGGATTTGGGTGGGGTTTTGGTTCATCTCAACCCTAATGAAAGCAGCAGTATGTCATAGTGATTGTACTGGTGGGAACCAGGTGGCATGGAAAGGGTGGCTGTGTGCAGGCATGCATAGTGCCAGTTCCTTAGGGCTACAGGGCTTGCTGGGTGGACAGACATGGAAGGCAAGGATGTATGATATGGAGTCCAGAGCGCAGGAAGAGACCCCAGGTGGGACGGGACAGGGAGCCTGTGGACTCTGTTGGCCCTGCCGGGTTTGCTTAAGATCTCACAGCATAAGTGGCCAGGTGGGCACTTGATGAACCCCTCCTCCTCAGAAAGTGTGCAGTGATAGGGCCGAGACTGTCCTATGAGTGGCCCTCATGTGCCGGCTCTTGCACCTACAGTACTCCAAAGTAGAGGCAGCAGTGCCGTGAGAATTGTCCCTAGGGCTTGGTTGGTCTGGGTGCCCCCTTTCTGGAACATGTCTGTCAATACTCATTGCATCTCCCTGCTGTGTCCTCTGAGAGTCCAGCATCCCACGGCCACCCAGTAGCTCAAGTCTCCCAGTGGCTGGCAGGACTCATGCTGGAGCTAAGTCCCAGTGTTCTAGCTTGCCCTGGCCTCCTGGGGTTATGGGTTGTCAGAGCCTGGTGCAGGGGCCCAGGGACCAGGGAGGTCAGAGCTGAGATGAAACAGGTGTGTAGGCTGGGGTGGGCCAGCTGAGCAGGCCCTTGTCCTTGGCCCATCCCTTCTCTACTGGGCTCAGACAGAGCTCTGTGAACCCTGGTTCCAGTCTTCAGCCTGTATCCTTCCAGGCTACTCAGTCTCTGGGGATAGACCGTATGGAGATGAGGCTATCGCAGAAGACCCAGGTGCCTTGGGGTCACACAGCGAGTAGAAGAAGGTCTCTTGCCAGCGCAAGGCCTGCGGCCAGTGTAAGAGAGAGAAATGGAAGCAATGAGGTGTGGTCAGGAAGCAACTCTGAGGAGAGCCCTGGATCAGAACTCAGGGCAGTGGCTGGAATCCACTGGCCAGCCTGGGGATCGTCAGGTGTGGAGTGGGCCTCTGGTTGACATCATCAGAGTCGAGTTCAGAGCACTGTGTGATCTTGAGTGTGCCTCCAAACTGCTTCCTCCTCCATGAGATGGGTTGGGGCTCCTTATCACAGGCAGGTGAGGTCAGAGAAAATGAAGGTAGTACTGGGAAGAACAAAGCTAGAAGGGAAGGCTGCAGTCCTGTGGCTCAGGCCAGGTATCCTCAGCCTGGGGCACAGGTTCTCCCTCGTCTCCTTGTTTGGTCTGATTTTGTGACCTGCTTAATGTAGATGTGTGGCCTGCATTCTTCACGTGCTGAGTCTTAGGGATGGGGTACCATGGACTGCTGGGCCACAGTTGTAGGTGGAACTGACCACAGGAGGAGCCTGGATTCCATGTCCTAGTTTGCCCTCCCTCAGTGTTCTTGGTGTGGGATGCCAGGAAGCTCACTGCTGATTTGTCTGGGCTCTGTGCTACGTGTCGTCCAGTCACAGCTGCCATCTAGCACAGTCTGCAGTGTTGGATGGCTCATGGTGCAGCCACTTAGAAACTATACTTGCTGTCATGGTTATATCTCTCCCTGCTTGGTGCCTTGTATCAAGGATCCATTCAGCCCCTGGTTGGAAACATGTCTCTTGTCCTAGGACTACTACAGGTTGGAAGAGTGTGGTCCTGGGCTTGAGGGTCTCTCTAGCTGGTGGAGCCGCTGCCCTTGCTAACAAATCCCTCCCTCTGCCACAGCATTCCGGGCCCTCCTGCAGATACGGGCTGTGCGGAAGAAGCCAGGGGCCGTATCTCCCATCTCCTTCAGCCCTGTCCTGGCCCAGAGCATGGACCATGATGAGCATTCTGTAAGTGCCTCCCTTCCTTCCTTTGTCCACTAGGGTGTGTGGGCCCCCCAGGAGCTGTGAGGGGGGACCAGGCTGGGCCTGTGGTGTGGGTTGCTGGGGTGATGGTTGCCCCTGCCAGCAGAAGAGCCTGCAAGGCAAGCCTGGCCTCTTTGCTGAGTTCACACCAGTGTTTGTCACCATCTCCACTGAGCCAGATGAACCAACACCCCTGCCTCTTAGTAAATGAGATGTTACCATTCCTCCTGAATGTGCCCAGCCTACTGGCCTCAGCCTGGGCACTCAAAGGGGCCTTAACAGATGGTCCACCAGCCTCCCTCACGGGACCAGGTGGGTAGACCTTGCCTTAGACAGACAATGCCCACTTCAAGGACCTGAAGGGAGAAATGAGAGAGAGAAGTGGAGAGTCAGTCTTGGGCAGGGAGAGAGACCTGGATACACAGAGACAGATGCACAGAGTTGGGGCTGGGGGTGGATAGGAGAGGCCGAGATGGATGGGAAAGGAGTGGTGGGAGTGAGTAGGATGGGAACATCTGAGCAGGGTCTGGGCTTTGCTACTTGTTCCTCATTACTTGTGAGCATTGGCAGTGAGGGAGCCCTTGCTTGGCTTTCCACCGAGGCCACGGGGTTCAGTGGCTTTTGAAGGCCCTGCCTATGGACTGGCACATTCCAAGACAGAGGCCTGCTCTGGATGGTTCCGTCTGTAGGTCTCTGCATCAGACTTGGCCTCGGCTGGCAGAGCACCCTGGTCACGGGTGTGATGTAATAGCTTATACAGTGTTTCTGAAAGTTACACAAATATTTAAAAGCCCAGGAACTTGGGTTTTGGCTCCTCTTTCACAATCTGAGATTTTGACTAGGTGTGGAGGCACATCCTGTAATCCCAGCTGCTTAGGAGACTGAGACAGAAGGATCACACAAGTTTGAGGCTGGCCTGAGCAACTTAGTGAGGCACTGTCTCAAAATTAAATTCAAAAGACTAGGGATATAGCTCAGGGCAAAGGCCCTGGGTTCAATTCTCAACATATCCCCCCCACCCCCACAATCTGAGGCTGTGTTCTGGCAGCTGCAGCAGAGGCGTGGTTGTCCTGGAGAGGTCACTGTCACTAAAGCCCACCCCAGACTCTAGTGGGGGCAACCCTGCAGTCTTGCTTACTAAGCTCGGTCACCATGAGGGCTCCTGAACTGAGGCTGTGCAGCATATGTAGCATATGTTGGCTTTGATCTAAGAGCATCACACACTTTGACCCACAACACACGTTTTGGTCATAAGAACAATGTAGATGTGATCTGCTGCTTGAAAAAGGAGTTAAGTATTTCATAGGGATTGACTGCTTAGCGGTGGTGGGTTTATTGTTGCTTGTTTTTGCCTCTCCCACTTTCTGCCCTGGTTGTTGAACATCAGGCAGGTTTCTTCCTGTTTCTCCCTCTTACTCAAAGTGAACTGAGGCACCTCCCCCAGTGCAGGCAGTGGGGCCTTGCTGTGTCACCCACCAAGTGGCTCTGGCCTGGCCTGGGTTCAGAGTGCCTACTGAGGATATTCTTGTTCCCTGTCTGGGCCATTTCCACGTATGTCCATAAAGAGTCCACATTTGATATTTTCTGCAGGGAGCCATTAAGATAATCATGAAGTTAAATACCTATCCACCCACTCTGGTACCCACCTTGGCCAAGACCTGCTGCTGTGGGGTGACCTGGACCATGGCGGTGGGGGGCTCTGAGCTGGGTTGGTTTCTGCAGCCTTGCGGCTGCAAGTAAAACCATCTTTGTGGTTCCTGGGAGCCAACAGATGTGCAGGCAGCCTTCTCAGAGCCCTGATTTAGAAGCTGGGTTTAGTATGGTTCTGAGGTCCACATGCATGTGAAGTTTGCAGAGTGCCAGGTCATGGTGTGCCTGAAGGACAGCAAACCAGAGACCCTGTTCCACCACCCCAGCGCCGTATTGGGGGGGTAGTTGTAAAACATTTGATTTTTATCTTGACAGTGTCCCTTTAAAAAGTCAAAGTTGCACCCTGCCTCCCTGGCCAGCAAGAAACCTAAAAGGGAAACAGTAAGTGTGCTTGGTCCTACAGCTACGTTTTTGCCCCGCACCCTTATTTTTAAACCAATGACAAGTGTGGGAAGTCATTTTCACCCCAGGCTAATATGTTTGATTAACGCATTCTGTCAAATCCGCTCTTCCCCAGTCCTGCCAACCCTGTCCAGGAAGGGAGTTTTGTGGAACAAGCAAAGCTCAAGGTCTGTTGGCAAAAAGCCAGTCCCCCAGGTCCTGCTACAGGGCCACAGCGGCCTCAGGCCATCCCCTTTTCGCCAGCTTTGCCTTGCCCATGGCTCCTCCAATGCCCTTGTTTCCCTTTTTTTTTTCTTGCTGGCAGTGGAGTGGATGATGAAGGTGGAACTAATGTTGCTGCTATTTTTTTTTTGCAAACAGCATTCCTCATGCATGCTCACTGGTCTTGCATCCCGTGCTCTCTGCCCTTTGGATTTGGGCTCTTTGGGTGGAGGAATCTGGTTATCTGGCATTTTCCCTGCATCCCCAGCTAGAACCCCATGCCTCTTGCTGTAACAGAGAGGCAGAAGTTGCTAAAGAAACAACTCAGAGCTTTCCTTTTCAGAAGGGTGACGGACTCAGAACAGTTTTTCACCTTTAAATTGAAGGCAGGAGCAGGTGAGGGATGGACACAGGTCCAGGATGCACCCCAAGCTCAGTGCCCATCTGTAGTCTCCAGGGATGCTTCTCAAGCCCTGTTCCTTCCAGAGCCTCTGTAGGGCAGGCTGGAACCTCACGTAGGGAGAACTTGGGAGCACTTTGCCCCTTTACCTGGTTCAAGAGAGGGAGATAGGGGCTGCACAACCCTCTTTAGTGCCCCGTGGCCTGACTACTGCTCCCTGGCACCCAGACCTTCCCCGCCCCCTTTGTCAATTCCATCCTCCCCAAATTAGGCAGCAGTGGCTCTTCCCCACATCGTTTCCCCTTTCAGGTCAGGACTCCTGAGGCCAGACTTCCCCTGGTCTAGGGCATGCATTTGCAGTGGTTCTCTTGCCTCTGGCATGGCTCCTCTCCCCCTGCTCCTGAGTGCTCCTTTCAGTCACTAATCCCCCTGACTCTCCACCCCCTCAAGGCAGGAACAGAGAGCCAGGTGAGGGCTGGCTGAGGATGGGTGTGGGACTGCTCTTGCAGATGCCCCTCACCCATCATCCTGGGGATCTGGGGATGGGTGCTGGAGTTGATGGATGAGGGAGCCTTGATCAGGATGGCTTCAGTGCCAAGATGGCCATCTTCCAAGGGAAGGGGACTTTAAGTCCCTGGAAGGTGGAGTGGACACAGGATGCTCAGCAGAAAAGGTGTGGGTGGTAGAATGTCCCTGGGACCTGAGCCCAGTTTTCGGCTGGCCTCTTTTCACCTGCCTTTGTCCACCTGCAGAGCTCCGACAGCATCCCACCTGGCTATGAGCCCATCTCCCTGCTTGAAGCACTCAATGGCCTGCGGGCCGTCTCCCCGGCCATCCCTTCAGCCCCCCTTTATGAGGAAATCACCTACTCGGGGGTCTCGGATGGCCTTTCCCAGGCCAGCTGTCCACTTGCTGGAATTGACCAGGTCCTAGAAACCAGCCACCAGAGCAGGCAACGGAGCAAATCTCCTGACAGGTGAGGCCCAGAGCCCAGCACCTGGCCTTGGGGAGGGTGTGTATATGGGGGCGAGGGAATATAAGAAGTACAAGGTGTATCTATGGCTTGATGTAATTTCCTAACACGTTTTTTTTCAGTGATTCAGTCCAGAAGGACACATAAGACCCAGTAGCAGGTCTGTTTATGGCAGGACAGCAGAGGCAGCAGCTCCCGCCTCCCTGTCCCAGTCCCACACCACACTGGTGGGACTGCTGCTCATTCTTGGCGGATGCAGGGGCCTGGGCCATGTCTGTGCAGTGGGGCCCGTTTGAGCCTCAGAGTTCTAGGAATTCGTGGCAGCTAGTCACATACGCATGTCGCACCATGTGGCCAGTGATGTCACTCAGAACTCAAGCCCCAAGAAGAAAGCAGGTACACACTGGCACCTGCCGAACCTGGGGCATGGTTCTTTCCAGGCTTTGACAAGAGCATCAGTAACAGACACCATGGGCCTCCCAAGGACCACACTCCTCAGCTGGGTAGGGATTAGTTGTGGCTGTTTTGCAGGACTGCAGGGAGTGGCCAGCCAGCCTGCTCGGTTGCCTCCCTTATGGTGGGATGGTGTTTTGTTTTGTTTTGTTTTTTATTTCATTTTGTTTTGTTTTTGCGGTACTGGTGATTGAATCCAGGACCTTTGATTCAAAGGTCCCCAGCCCCTTTTTTATTTTATTTTGAGACAGGGTATCACTTAATTCACTAAGTTGTCCAGGTTAGGCTCAAATTTACAATCCTCCTGCCTCAGCCTTCCATACTGCTGAGATTACAATTGTGGACCTCCATACCCAACTGTTTCTTCCATGGAAAAGCTCATGTCCGGTGCCACCACCCTGGTTCCTGCACTGAACCCATGTGGCAGAGCGACTCTGGAGATACAAAAAGATGTACAGCAGTCCCTGCTGCTTCCTACCTGTGTCTCTGCTGTTGGCATTTTCTCTTCTAGAAATGAGAGGATCTTGGGGCTGTGCTTGTGTCCCTTAGAGGGCCTCTGTTGGCAGCTCTGAGTAGCTAGTCAGGGCCACACACAGTCTGAGGTGGCTCCAGTCCCCTGAGAGTATCTTTTCTTGGCTCCTGGTGGACAGGAAAGGTGGATATGCTTGGGTGGGACTGGTGCTGCTGGCCCAGCCATCCTCCAGCCCACATGCCCTCCCCTTCTATCCTCAGCACACTGCTGTCCCCGTCATCCCCCATCCATGAGGAGGATGAGGAGAAACTCTCTGAGGACTTGGAAGTTCCTCCCCCACCAGGTGCCCCGGAGCTGGCCCTGGGGGAGAGCAGCTCGCCTGAGGTGAGACTTACCCCAGGTTAGGCCCCATCCTGCTGCCTCTCGGCCCCTGCCCCATAGTCCCCTGGTTGTGTGACCCCAGTCTTGGTGTCCTCACCTAGGGGTTGGGGTGCCATATGGTGAAGTCACTGAGGGCTGTAGGAGAGCCAGTGTGTGAAGCTGACCGCCCAGTAGCATCTTTGTGTCCTGTGGTGGTGGCTCCTGCCATTGCCCTCTGCCTGGTCTTAGGAGCTTAGCACTAGATCTGCCGCAAAACTCCAAGTGGCCTTTCCTCTTGTCTCCTAGAGTTTCCTAACGGAAGAGGTTGATGAGCCATCGCTGAAGCAAGGTGAGCCCCTCAACCCTGTGAAGCCTGATTCCAGAGCCTTCCTGGAAGGACATTACTCTGGTTGAGCTTTGGACACAGGCCGGGCCAGCCCTGCTGCTGTTGGGTTCTCCTGACTACTCCTCCACATTTCCAAGGAACGGTCATTGGCCTTGGGTCATCAATCCACAGTGTTCGGTTGGTGGAGGGTCTTGTTCACTGGCTGTGCTGCCGGACCAGGACAGGGTAGCTTGAGCGGGGCCAAGGGTTTGTGTGCTGTTTTTGTGAGTTGTCATCTCTCTCCTGGCTGAAATGAAAATGAGGATGACTTGAATCTCTTCACCCCTTGCCTTAGCAAGAGGGCATGACCTGGGCCCCAGTGGGGATGGCCTGTCCACCCCAGGAGGCTGTGGCATGTGCTGAGGTGCCACCCTCCCCAAGCCTCCCTCTACCATCTCAGTCCTTCCTCACAGGCATCCTTGCTGGACAGTTGAGGAAAGTAGGTTCAGGGCTGGCATCAAGGGGAAGCCCAGGGCCACTTATCAGAGGTGACAGAGCCACAATGTGATCCTGGCTGGTGGTAGACCAGTAGTATGGTAAAGGCCCCCAAATAAATTGAAGCCACTCTGTTGTGGGGACCCACATCCCTCCCAGGAAGAGTCCCTCACCAGCTGTGCTAGCCACTGGGCCAGGCTCTTCAGACACAGGAGGACCTGGCCCCGGGCTGGGCTGTGGATATGGGTGTGTCCTGGAAATGGTGCTGCACCCCACCCTTCTAGATCTCACCTCTTGGGTTTCTGTTTTAGGACCTGGGTCTGTGAGTAGAGAATTTGGAGTCAGAGTCCCAGCTGTGTTACTTCGACAGTGAGACACTCAGGGAGTCCCTCTGCCTCTCCAGGCCTCAGCTTTCCAACTTTGAGCTTGGACCCTTCCTCCACTGTCTGCACACCTCTGCCTGGGCAGAAGCACATGCAGGGACAGCGGGCCCTGGCTTGTTTGGGCCATTCTTCTGCCAGAGGATGCTGTGAGCAGCACTGAGAAGAGCAGGTCCCAAGCTGAGGAGGATGTGTGTGGGTAGAAAGAAGCAGGCTGTGTAGCTGGCCATACAGGACAGCAGGGCCACAGGCCAGGCAGAAATGAGCAGGGAACAATTTAACGTTTTTGTAATACAAACAGAAAAAGCCCACTCTGGAGGAAAGAAGGAGAGAGAAAACAGAGTATCTACCTTTGGGTCCACTGGAGAACTGGTGGAATCAATGGAGCCAGAACCTGCTCCTGCCTGTTGGTCCTGACCTTGTTCCCCTCTCCCACCTGGTGCAGGGAGCCAAGTGGCATCCATCGAGGAGGTCCTGCAGGATGGCAGCCCCGAGCACCAAGCCTATGCCCAGTCAGGTCCTCCTGCTGACATCTGCCTGCCAGGTAATGGCACAAGGGGCCCACCTAGGCCTGAGGATGGGGCTTACTCTGATGCCTTGTGAGTGGCAGAAGGGGCTGGCTCCTCTGGAGCTAAGTGCCTGGCTTTAGCTGTTAGCCAAGCTACTTGCCATCCTTTCAACCCCCAAAGCAAGACTTGGGCTAGGCCTAGATCTGCTTGGTGCCCTTCTGCAGGCCCCTTCCTACCTCAGTGTGCTCAGCCTTGAGAAGGAAGAAGAGGCTATGTGTAGAAGGATATGGTTTATCCCCCACCACCTCCTGCTGGGGGCCAGGTGGGCCAGTTTGGTCCCTACTGGGATTGCTGTCTTTCATCCCTGGTCCTTACCAAGAGCACAGCAGGGCCTCTACCCCTGGAGCTGCAAATAGAAAACAGGCCTAGGGTCATACTGGGTGCCAGGGGGTCCAGCCCTGGCCCAGGAGCCTGGCTTTTAAAGCCAAAAGTAGCGCTCTGCTCACCCAATGCCTCCTCCACATGCCCTTCCCAGGATGTGGCAGCTGGAGTCGGGGTAGGGAGGACAAGGCAGAACTGCTGTGCCCCTCTTCATGGAAGTCTGGCTGAGGTGTGATTTGTAGCTCTTCCTTGGTGGCAGCAGATGGATGTGTATACATTGTTTCTAGAGCCCCTGTTGTACTAACGCCAGTGCCTTTGCTGGGGAGTGCACTGGCTTATCTCCCTCCTCCCTGCCCAGCACTGGGGTCTGGGGACCTCTCTCAGTGTAGAGGAATAAGCTGCCTGCTGTGGGTAGCTCTGCTGGGCAGCCTTGGGGCGAGGAGCCCTCCAGCCCTGCAGGGCTTCCCTCTGTTTTTCATCTTCATCCACTTCCATGTCTTCCAGGGCCTCCCACAGCTACTGAACCTTTGCCCCTGAAAGGTGGCCTCCAGCAGGCCTGGCTTGAGCTGGAGGTTTTCTCCCTAGACTGGGCAGCGTGATCAGGCTCCTAGTGATTAGGGTCCCCAGAGCAGTGTGGGCTTGGCCCAGGTATATATAGCTGCTGTCTCCAAGAGCCAGGGCCTGGAAGATCAGGGAGTGTAGGAAACAGGGAAAGGGGACATTACTAGAACCTCTGCAGTAAGTCCTAGTCTCCTTGGAGCCACAGCAGCACAAGGCGAATTATAAGAAAGGTAGAAAAATGAGACTAAGAAGCTGAGCTTTGGGACTGGTCAGTACTGCTCTGGGCGGCAAAGACAAAAGCCCCCAGCTCACCACACCTTTTATTCAGTACATTGGGAGAAACAAATGTAACAAATGACTTGTGCAGAGTTCAGTACATCCCAGTAAACAAGATGTAACAATCCGAGAACAATGAGGAACTGAGTAGATAAAGATTTTGTTCCTCCCAGGATGTCTTCAGCTGGTATACTCTTGTCCTGGAGAATCACAGCAACACCAGATCATTGAGGTCTTAGTTGTGACTGGAGGCCAAAATGGAATTATGTCTTGGAATTCCATAGCTGGGCTGTGGGCAGGAGAACTAAACCCAATCAAATGATTTTTCCCTAAAATTATGTAGCAGTGCTCCCGACAAGGGAGCCTCAGGAAGACACTAGGCAGGGCCGTCTCCAGCCCTCACCAAGACTCACTCTAGGTAGTCACAGAGCCGAATCCCAGTGGTCCATAGTAGACACATGGGGCATCCAGCAGGCTCCCTGCTCTCTGCCCATGGCTTTAAGCGACAATGCAGATACACTCTGGCTGTGTGAGGCCTGGGTCTTCTATGATCTAGCACAGTCCTTGCAGGGGGCGTGGAAGTGACAGTCCTGGAATGAGCAAAGCAGGCCTTTGAGGGAGGTGGGTAGGTTGCTAAGGCCCTGTGTCTCAGTAAAGCTGCTCCCTGGGGTGGCTCTAAGTACCACCTTGTTCTCAAACTGCTCCCTTTTCCTGTCCTGCAGATTGACTGGGGGTGTGCAGCCTAGGTCAGTGGTGGCAAACATAGGATACACGTGCTGCAGTGGGCCGTTTGTATCATTGAAACCTCTACAAGGTTTGCCATCACTGGCCTAGGTGATAAAGCTCACGGCAGCACAGATCTGGCTGAGGGAGGGGCCAGCAGCCTGTGGGGCCTGCAGCTTCCCTGCCAGGCTCCCGAGATGATCTGTCCCAAGGGACACGGACCTCACCTTCCATGTGGTTACGTAAGAGCAAGTCTGCTGCTCCTGCCAGACAGCCAGTGAGGGTGCTGGGTGGCCCTGCCTGTTTCAGGGCTCTGAGTTGATGGGAGCAGGTGAGGAGGGCACCAGCTGAGCATGACCCTCCCTCTGCCTCCACCCACAGGATGGCCCACCTCCATGGAGTCGCCTCACAGCCTCAGCACCGCTGGGCCCCCCTGGCCTCCTCTTGGGGGCTCCAGTCCTGACCCTGGGACTTCTGACCTGACCCCACTCTGAGAGCCTGGTTTGGCTAGCAGCATGGACCCCTCAGCCCCCCAGACTCTGCTGAAGGACTTCCCTGGACTTCAGCATGACCCCAGCCTCTCCTGTCTGCACGCCCTGTGTGGGACCAGCCTCTGAGGGGCCAGGTGGCCCTCAATCAAAGAGCACAGTGGATTGTCCACTCTACAAACCCTCTTTTTCTATGATCGATATATTTGTAAATGGTACAAGATGAAGGGCAGCAGCTTTTACCCTGGGCCCTGGACCCTGGGGTTCCCCCAGATGCCAGTGTCCATACTCAGAAAACTGGCAGAAGAGGAGTTACTGATCTCCGATGTGCTGTTTGCACAGACCTTCTAAATGGGTGAGGGGGCCAGAGTCCCGGCCAATGAAGGAAATAGTGCCTGTCTGCCCACCCCACTTGCGTGTTCCTTGTGGCAGACTGGCCCTTGCTGCTGCTTTTGCTCCCTGGTGTTTGTTGTGGCCATGGGTGGCCTTCTCTAGTGCCAGAGGGCTCACCTGCTCTGCTCTTTGCTCCGTGCCCTTTAGCAGCCCTTTCCCTGGCAGCTGGGGCAGCACAGGCCATCTGCAGTGGTTGGTGTCCTCTGGCCTGGTACCCATGCCCTGTGCTTTCTCACAGGCACTGCTCTGCATCCTCTTCAGATGCTTCTATAGTGGTGGCATTTTGCCTCAGCCACTGCTGCTGCTGCTGCCCAACCATGTGCTGTGGCTTCTTTAGTTCCCCTATTGTTTTCTATGTCCTTTTGCTTTTCTCTTATTCTGAGTGGAACCTGCCTGGGGGGAGAGGGGACCAAAAGCCCACATGGGGCAGAACCCCAGCTGTGATGCTTCTAAGGCAGTCTTAGGAGAGAAGCACAAGGGCTCTAGATGCTTGTGCCTCTGCAGAGCCTGCTGCCTGTGGTGTGTGCAGCCCCCCTGGGCAGGGAGGGTGGAGGGCCCCAGCCTGGGGAGCTTCAATGCCCTGACTCCTGGGGGAGGATGGCAGAGAGGTAGAGCCTGCCCTAGGGCTCGGTGTTGCTGGAGCCCCGGCTTTGCCCAGTGGCCACCTTGTTCTTGGGTCAGCCTGTATGCAAAGCGCTGTCTTCATATCCTGCTTCCCTCTGCCTGCCATAGGTTCACACATGCATGCCCCTCTCCTGGACAGGTTGGTGGCAGTACTTTGAAGGACAGGATGCAGATTAGTTTACCTTGGACTCTCACGTGCTATAATTTGATGTACTCTGACTGGCTAGTGTTTTTGTTTTTACTGTATATTTATAGTAATAAAATCACACAGCAATATCCTGTCTGGGGCAGTGACTGTTTCTTGGTGCACAGGCAAAATACTGAGTGGCACGTTGTGGTTCCTGATAACCTGGGGCCTCTGCCTCAGTTTCCTCATATAAGATGGCAGTGACAGCATCAGTCCCCAGCACTGGTGAGGGTTTAACCATTTTTGTCTTTGTCATTGCTCACACTCTGGTGTGACGCCAGACTTGGGCTGGCTCAGACTCCTGAGTGGTGGAGGAGCTGGCTGTCAGGTGTGTGCTTTGTTGCTCCACTCCCATCTCGGATTCCTGCCACCAGTGTTTACTGAGCATCAGCTGTGTGCTAGAGGAGGGCAAAATAGAAAAGGTCCAGGCTCCTGGCATTTGCATCGGAATCAGTGAGACACACCAAGGAGATAAATCAGTCTTTTAGGTAAGATCAATTGTGTGATCAGATGAAGTCCTAAAGACTTAGTTTAACCAGGTAATCAAGCAGGCTTTTTTGGTCCCTGAAAGATGAGTCCTCTAAACAGTTGGAACAGTAAGTGCAAAGGCCAGGTGGCAGGAGTGAACTTAGTGTGCCCCTAGTGGAGAGAAACTCATTGGCTGGATAATAGGAGCAGGGGGTATTGGGATACCTTGTAGAATGGTTGGAGTGTTTGTTTTGTTTTGTTTTGTTTGTAAGGGATAGTTTTGAAAATAGGGTTTTTGAAACTGGGTGTTACTATGTAGTCCAGGCCAGCCTTGAACTCTTGATCTTTCTGCTTCAGCCTCCTGGGTGTCGGGGATTATAGGCATGCTCCACCATGCCTCAGCTGAGACTAGTCAGGTTGTTTGTTGAGACAGGGTCTCGCTGTATATTCCAGTGTGGCTTTGAACTTGTGGCAGCTCTCCTACCTGAGCCTCCTGAGTGCTGAGATCACAGATGTGCCCCACTACACCTGGCTTTAATCAGTTTTTTAAGGCGAGGAGCAACACCCTGTGGCTGTGCTGTAGGGATGGACTGGAGCAGCAGGTTGGCTTGTACCAAGATGGTGTGTTTGGAGGCTGGAACCCCTGCCCACCCACCCCCAGCAGGGGCTGTGCAGTGCACTAGGTTACTCACCACCGCACTAGGTTACTCACCACCACACTGGGCCCACAGCTCCCTGGCAAACAGCTGAAGCTGCCTCCCTGGTCCCTTTCTGACTGCAATCCTTAAGATCAGAGGAAACCAGTGTTCTGGGCCCTTGCCTGCTCCTGGGAATGCTTGTTTTCCACTGCCCTGCAGCTGCTCTGGGACACCTGGGCCTCACGCAGCCCCAGTGTGGGTGTAATGTGAGGAGTGAGCCAGATTGGATTCCTTCCTCACTCGAGCAACAGTCCCAGCCCCTTGGCTAATGTCTGGTATTGGGGAGGGGTGGGGGTCAGGAACCTTTTCCCCCTTGTGACCTAGGCTCATGAGGTGCTGAATGCCCTGTCCCCTTCAGACATAGTCACATCCTTGGAACCTGGACTTCCCTCTGCAGCTGCCCCTTGTGAGCCCTGATTGATTGGCCACAGCAGGGGAGAAGCTCCTTGTCTGGGTCCTGAGTTTCCAGCAGATCTTGCCATTGCTCTCCCACTTCTCACCCATTCAGCCTTGCTGAGGGCAGTATTACTTCCTGTGCTACTCGCTCGGGTAGGCCTGACTGCTCGGCTCCTCCGCGGCTATGGGCCCAGCCCTGGGCACCCAGCCTACTAGTGCAGATGAGGGCTCCTCAGCAAAGCCATGCGCCTTGTGGGGGAAGAAAGCAGCCCTTGGGCCCTGCTGGTAGTGAGGTGAGCCTGGTGAGACCCCATCCTTCTCCTTTGAACCGCTTTTTTCCAATGCTTTTGAGGCCCGAGGACTTATCCAGCAGCCACACAGGCTAAGTACTAAAGGCCCTTCTTCCCTGTAGAATCCAGCAGCTTTCTGTTGTGGATACTGGGTGGGAGAGGGGTCCTGCCTCTGTCACTAACTGCTGGGTGCCTTTGACAAAGCCTGGAGAACACTTGGGTTACAGTAGGTTGGCAAGTCTCCAGCCCCCAGTTTAAGTCACTGAGACACCTTGCCAGCCACCCCAATCTACCAGGGCTGGCATGCGCTCAGACACCAGGGGCTAGGGGATGGGGGTGGGAGCTCTGGCGCGTCCTGCTGTCCCAGGGCAGGCGGAGCCTCCCAGGACGGGAGAGTTGTCAGGGGAGGCATTGCCCTGAAGTCCCAGCTCAGGAGCGAGCTCTGGATCTAGAGGCTAAGTCGAGTGGCCGCCCAGAGGGCGCCATCACGTGTGGACGGACTCGCACAAGCAGGGTAGCGACCCAGGGAGAAATCCGTATCCTGAAGGTGAGGAGACTGTTGGGATTGCCAGCTGTACTCTTGCTTGCCTAGATCACTCCCGGCCGCAAGGCTCGCGCCCCGCCGGGGCGGAACCTACTCGCCCCGTTGCACTTCGGGAGATGTATGCTTGAAGGGTTTGGGCAGGGGCGGGGCCTACTTTGAGCACTACCTACTCCACCTCTCAGCAAGGTGTTAGGCTACCCCTTGGGCCAGTCCTGGGACGAGTCAGCGATTGGTGGTGGGTGGGCGGGCGGGCGGGCGTGCGTGCGTGCGTGCGTGGCTACCCGCACTCGAATTGGCGGAGCGCGCCGAGGGCGGGGCCACGCATGCACCTAGACGGCGGGGCGGGGTGTGTCGATGTCCAACATGTCGGCTGCGCGGTTCCGGAGCTGAAGCGGATCAGCCGGGAAGAGGCGATGCGTCTGGGGCCAAGCTGGAGCCACTCGTGCCACGCCATGCTGTACGCCGCCAACCCCGGGCAGCTCTTCAGGCGCATCCCCTTGCGCTTCTCGCTGCTGGTGAGGCCGCGGGGGGGGGGTGCAGGCAGGGCGCCGCACAGTCTCTTGCGGTCCGTGACCCACGCTCCTCTTGCAGATGCAGATACGCTTCGACGGGCTGCTGGGCTTCCCCGGGGGCTTCGTGGACTGGCGCTTCTGGTCGCTGGAGGACGGACTGAACCGAGCTGGGCCTGGGCCGCCTGCGTCTCACCGAGGCCGACTATCTGAGCTCACACCTGACAGAGGGCCCGCACCGCGAAGTGGCGCATCTGTACGCTCAGCAGCTGACGCTGGAGCAACTGCATGCGGTGGAGATCAGCGCGGTGCACTCGTGGGACCACGGCTTGGAGGTGGAGCCCCCGCCCCCGCCCCAGGATTTGGCTCTGGCCTCGCGGAAGGCACCAATGGGTAACATCCTCCCCAGGGTACCCTGGTCTGGTGGGGTGGGACTGGGGCTCCCCAGGGCTGTGTTCCATCCGCCTGGCCTCCTTTGCCAATCCTGGGAATGGGGCGTGGGGAGTGGGATCAGTGTGAGGATGGGACCGGGGAGATGGGAAACTGATGAAAGGGAGTCCAAAATCTCTGATTCGCCACTTTCTCAATCTGGAAGGGTTTGGAGACTCAGGGAGCATGGGTGTGGGCGGGAGGAGCAGCATCTGAGGCTTTCTGGTGGACAGGGAGAGGGTGAGGTGTGCATGGGATTAAGCCTAGAAATTTGCTTGCATTGACCTTGGCAAGATTGGTTGTTCTTCCTCTGCTGCTAGGCTCCTCCTGCCAGGGCTCTCTGCTTCTGTGAGGGCCTGGCCTCAACTCTGGTCTCCTGCCCTGCAGGTGCCGGGCCTTGTTCGTGTTCCTCTCTACACCCAAAAGGATCGAGTCGGAGGCTTTCCCAACTTCCTGAGCAACGCGTTTGTCAGCACCGCCAAGTGCCACCTCCTGTTTGCCCTCATGGTGCTCAATATAATGCCCTAGGAGAAGCTGGGTGAGGCATTGGCCTCAGCCACAGAAAAGCAGAAGGTGGCCCTGGAGAAGATGCGCCCTCCTTCCTCCTGAGGTGATCTCTGTGGAAGCTGGCTGCCACCCTCCCCTACCTGGCTCTGTGCTCAGGGCCCCTGGAATTCCCAGGGAGTATCTGCACCCCTTTGGTGAGTGCATGGCATGAGTGGGCAGCTGCTTATCTCCACTGTCCGAAGCAATCCCTGGGACCCAGCTCCCATCTCAGGTTTCTAGTGGGTGGCCTGGGCCTACTTTTTCAGGCTCAGACCTGCCCCTTGGAGCTTCATTGTGGCCTAGTGGGGCCCCCAGCTCGCAGCACAGCTCTGGGGCCATTCAGGAAAGTTAGTTCTGGCGGAGGTGGCCTTTGTCCTGGTGGACTTGTTCCTGCCTCCTTTTCCGAGTCAGCCCCAGGGCCTGGAGGAGAGCCAGTTTTGGGTAGAGTATTGTACCGTTAATTCTGGTTTTCACTGGATTCAGTGCTTTTAACTTTTCTTTTTCATGGTGTGAACTTTGGTGGGGCTTTAAAGTGGCTTCACTCTCCGTGGCTTGGTTGCTGACTGTGTGTGTGTGTGCGTGCGTGTGTGTTGAAAGTCAATAAAGTTGCTCCTCTTCTGCTAGGTGTTCACTTCTGGACCGAGGCCCAGCACTAGCTTTAGGAGATGCCTCTCCAGCCCTCTTACCTTAGAGCTCATGCTTCTCTTTTTTTTTTTTTTTTTTTTGGCTCATGCTTCTCTTGAATGTGGAGACCAGGTCCAGTGGGGGCTGAGTCCCCAGGCATCTGTCCCCTTTGTCTTCCAGTGCTCTGCCAGCCACCAGCCTAGCTTGTCCTGAGCATCAGGCTCCCTTTCCTGATCTGGTGGCTCCAGCTGTACTGGGGGGAGCCTGCCTCTATTCTCAGCAGTAGTCTTTGGGTGGCTCCTGGGCATGGTCTAGAAGCACAGTTTTAAAGAGTGCAGAGGGACAACAGCAGAGCCGCTGTGGGATAGGAAGTCCACCACTGAAATCCACCTCTGGAAAGACTTCCAGTTACATGGTTGGAAAACTATATTGTAAGGAAGGTGGTATTGCCAGCTTCCACCTGACAGCTCAGGCAGAGGGCCAGGGCAGGAGGTGGTGCTGTGTGGGCCAAGCAACCAGGCTATCCACCCAACACCCTTTGTCACTGAGCTAGGGTCTTGGCACGGCTTTCCCCTTCCTATGGCCTGCTGGCATGTTGTGCCACACATCATAGGGCCAGAATTGCTGATGTTAAATTTTATTTTCTAAAACAAATGGCACATTTTTTAAGTGGTGGTCCTCACCTGTAAGGTCAAACTTAAGTGTGCTACCTGTATTTAGGGACACACATACTCTCCCCATGCCTTGTCTGGTCTGGGTCAGACATTCCATAAGCTTGGGGTTTTAACCATCAGGCCCACATCTGTTCCACTGCTGGCGTTACTGCCCTGGCAGGGGCCACAGGCCGCGTCTTGCCTCTGTGCAGGCTGCTCCCTGGGGCCGATCCTTAGCCCCATCTGAGGCTTGGGCTGTGGCAGCTGCCTGCTCACTGCCCTCTTGTCTTCCTGGCATATAGATTCAGGGTGGATCGATCACCCAACGTCAGATTCTGTAAAAGACAAGGTCCTGGTGAGAAGGGAGAATAAGACTGAGGAGGGTCAAGGGAACCCACCCTGCATATGCAGCTGCCCAAGCAGGCCCCAGGCTGGCGGACACTCACCGTTCCTCCTGGCTAGGGCTCCCGCCACTTCTTCCCATTTAGCACCTGCAGCTTCTCCAGGCTCTGGGTCACTGAGCACAGTGCTTGACCTGGGGACACAGAGGGACAGTGTTCTATGGCAAGGCTGGACAGCAGCAAGAAAAGAGGGGGGTATGAGGCACTAGGAATGGATGACCTTAAACCTCTTGTCAGGCTTAGGCTGGGGCCTGCCCCACAGTGGTCATGACTCCAGCCACAGGCCACCCTTGCAGCAAAAAGGACTCAAACCTGCTTTCCTAGGCAAGAAAAGAGGGGGGTATGAGGCACTAGGAATGGATGACCTTAAACCTCTTGTCAGGCTTAGGCTGGGGCCTGCCCCACAGTGGTCATGACTCCAGCCACAGGCCACCCTTGCAGCAAAAAGGACTCAAACCTGCTTTCCTAGAGCGGTGTCCCTGCTGCCCCAGCCTGGGGCCTTGCCGCCCTCCCAGAGACTCACCCATCTCGCGGACTTGGTCTTCCAGGACTACAGAAAGCTCCAGGAGGCTCATGGCCTGCAGTGCTGCATGCCAGCTTTTGGAGTCTGTGGGACAGAAGGTGGGGTTGGCCTGGGTGTGTCCGCACAGGCCCTGCCTCTTGTCCTGAGCCCTGGGGCCAGGTGATCCCCCCTGCCCAACTATGGGTGTACGAGTGACCTCCAAGGGCCAAGGTAGGGGTCCTGTGTCGCACTCCTCCCCAGCTGGAGTCTGAGGTTAGAAAGACCTGTGACAGTGTGTCTTCTCCCTCACATGCAGCCAAAGCACTGACTGCCAACCAGGCTCAGACCCAGGAGAGTGAGGCTCCCTGGGCCCCAACTGGAGGGCAATTGCTGGAGGTCTCAGCATGGCCTTTATGGCATGGTGGCCATGCCTCCCACCACCAGGGTTCAGTGTGCCTTCTCTCTCAGGTGAGGGAGTTTGGTTCCCTGGGTACCTTGCTGGGACACTGGCGAGGGTGGGGTGACGGTCACAAAGACAACCAGATGAAGTCCTCTACCCCTACAGAACTAGGCTGCGGCTGTCCTTACCTTCTGGGAGTAGTGCTGGGCTCAAGGCAGCTGTGCTGGGAGACTGGTCCTGCCTCATTCGGGTGGACAGCTCAATTTGACAGGCTCTGCCAGACAGAAGACCAAGTGCTGGTGAGGCAAAGACCGTGCTGCCAAGCCCCTCAACCAGAACCCCCAAGGGCAAAGGACACTGGCCCTGTCCCCACAGCTGGCCTCCATGGTCCTGACAAGCATCCTAGGAAGCTTTGCGGGTGAATAGGAGAGAAACCCATACTGACCCCACAGGCCTCTGCTGCTGGGTCTGCCCTGAGTGAAAAGGTAGGGGGCACTGAAGGGACTCTGGGCCTAAGAAGCAGGAGCATCGATGGCTGGTGCCAGGCACAGTGAAAGCTAGCACTCCTGCAGTGTAGCCCCCCAGAGCTCACCGGAGCTGCTCCAAGATGAGGGCAGCATCCTGGGCCAGGGCCCAGGTCTCTTGCAATTGGGTGTGCACGTCCTTGCGGGCTCCATCCTGCTCCAGCAGGCAGCTCTCCACCACAGCCCGAAGCTCCTGCTCCTGAGACACCTGGCCACGCATGGCCTCCACCTCCTCACAGCGCTGCACGGGGAGGGACCAGGCTGGTTGTGGGCTGAGGCCCTGGTGGCTTGGGCTAAGTCTTCCCCACAGGGGCCTTGAGTCTGCTACTCTGTCCCTGACCCTGTCTCTCCCATGCCCATCTTTCTCAGAGCCTGCCACTGGTGGGCTTCCTCGGCTCCATCCCATAGCCCCAGTTACTCTCTGGCCCTTGCCTTCAATGGCTCCAATGTCCTCCCCCCACCCCACCCCCTCCAGTGAGGCAGTGCCCACCTGTGTCTCTGGGAGCTTCCCTTATTGGCTCCAGGTGTCTTCCCCCCATTCCCTGCCACTGGGGCCCTCCGCATGCTCCCTGCTCCCACTTGCTTTGTGCAGCTGGATGGCAAGTTCCTGCATCTCCGCCTCCAGCCGGTCAGCATAGGCCAGCTCCAGGGCATCACTGGGGGGACGGGCACCACTATGCCACCGTGCAATGGCTGAGGTCATCTTCCTTTTGGGCCCAAACAATCTGAGGGCACAATCAGAGAAGGAGTGCATCAGGCCACATACATGGAGCCTCCACAGCTCACCCAGCCACCCTTGTCCTCTAGGAAACTCCCATCTATGAGAAGGATAGCTGGGATCCTCAGGCAGAAGACCAAAGACTGCCAAAAGCCTGCCCTGCTATTCCACTCCCCTGCCACTTGCTCTAGGCTGTGGACAGCCAGGTCTGCTGACACAGAAGGTCCTCAAAGGGAAACCACCCACGGGGGATTCTCGGAAGCTCGCTGGGAACTATTTCCCACCTTCAAAACTGCACTTAAGAGAAATGTGGATCTTGGCACTCGAGTCTACTGAAGGCTTGGAGGGTAAGTACCATTAGTTTAGGTTAAGTTCAGCTCTCAGCCAGGCATGGTGGCACACAAATGTAATCCCAGCTACTTGGGAGCCTGAGGCAGGAGGGTGATGAGTTTGAAGCCAGCCTGTGCAACTTAAGGAGACCCTGTCTCAAAATTAAAAGGGACTGGATGTGTTACTCAGTAGCAGAGTGATTGGTTGGCATGTGTGAGGCCTTGGATTCCATCCCCAGTAGCACAAATATAGAAGATTAGACTAATTCAAAGCCAGAAATAAGCGGGCAGAAGACTGAATCCGCAAATTTGAAGACAACAAAAACTTGAGTCTGAGGAACAAAAGAAAAAAAGACTGAAGAAAAATGCACAGAACATGGAAAATCCATCAACCAAGAACCCTTAATCTAGTTAAATCGTCCTTCCAAAGTGAGGGAGAATCCAGACATTCTCAGACAGGCAAAAGCCCATGGAGTTTATGACCCCAGACCTGCCCTCCAAGAAGTGCTCACAGGAGTTCTGAAGGGAGAGGAAAGCATCCAGGCAGCAACTGGAGCCACATGAGGAAATAGCTACATGCAGTGCACTTCGAGGCATTACCGTACTCACAAGGAATCAGGATTAGAGGCACAGACTGACTATGCATTCAGGACGAAAGGCTTCAATTACTTGGATTTTATGTGAAAACATAAAACACATGCTCTTGAGAGCTTGGATATAAATTAATACCACTAAATACTATAAATTATGTTACAAAAGTATTCTAGTACCTGTAGTAAAACTGATAATTATCATTTGTAGAATGTTTATGTTCTAATCATGAATAAAAGTAATAAAATCGTACATATAAACCACCAAAAAATAAACTGGCAGAAACATCCAAGGGCCTTGAATTGTGATAGTGTCAGCCAGGCCATCATGGGCCCCTCTGTCCTTTTTAGCAAGACAGCCCAAGAAAGGTTCCACATAGCCAGGACAGCCCTTGCTACCTGCTGGGATGAGTGCTGCAAAGCAGGACATGGAGTGAGCACTCACGTGATGCCAATTTCCTTCAGGTCACTCTCCGTGAGGGTCAGGAAGATGCGGAGGTCCACGTCCTGCTCCTCAAACACCTGCAGGTACTTTAGACACCCAATTTGCTCCAGCAGTGTGGCAAGGTCCTGAAGGGTAATAACAAGCAGGAGCAGGAGCACCACAGGACGAGAGGTGTGGGATGTCAAACAGGTTTTTCTGAAGTTGTGAGCCCCACAGATGCCCTAAGCTCAGCTCCAAGACAAGGACTTGTCTGTGGGAGGAGGTCCCACATTGCCCCTGTGCGCTCAGTGCTGTAGGCAGAGCAAGGAGCCTAGATCTGCAGCACATGCTCTTGGACATGCGTGATCCTTCTTGTGGATGCTTGGTGCTATGAGGGATGTCAGGAAGTTGTTAATCTTGTGATGAGTCACTTTTCTCTATGGTTCTTTTCAGTTCCCTTTAGCTGATGGTTTGATTTCCACGTCTACACGTGTATCTCCTTGGATTTATGCAGCTGGTGTTCGCAGTACACTGCATGTGCAGACCGTGCCTCTTACTTTTGGGGATAATGGGCAGCTGCTCAGTGGCACACCACTCCATAAGCCTGATGGTGTGGCACAGCTTTCTTTGTTTTTCTTCATTCTTCTGTTTCTCAGATAGCAGCCATCTGCCAGTCTGTGTCAGATTTCCTCACTCTTTTGCCTGCTTTTGAGCTCATCTAGTGAAACTTTCATTTTAGTTGTACTTTTCAACTCCGGAGTTTCTATTTTTTGCAAGTTTTTTGTTGCTTTGAATGTAGGAAAACATTTTAAAAGCTTGTTACGCCACTACTTTTTTAAATTTTTTATTTGTTTATTTATTTGGTACTGGGGATCGAACTCCGGTCCTTGCGCTCCGCACAGCATGTGGTGAAACCACTGAGCTAAATCCCCGGCCCAACCACTACTTTTTTTTAAAGGAACCACCTTAAGATCACCACCACCATAAATTCCAATCAACATGTGTTTGAGGAGTCAAGTGCAGCACCTACTCATAGAGCAGGGGGCTGCAGGTGGAAGCCAGAGTCCACAGGCTTAGTGAATAGCCTAACTGCTCCTTTAACAAGTCAGTGGCAAATGCTTACACCTTAACACTTATGCCCATACAGATCAGGAGAACTTAACACACACATGTTCATATATATGAGACTGCTGAGCTGCTGAGTCACACCTGTGATTCTAAGGTGCTCAGCCAGGGTGACCCCCATGAGGAAGGAAGCTGCCTTGGCTTTGGTTACGTGTGTGCTACGTGCCTTCACAGGGTCTCTACTTCACAAGCATCTTGTCACCAATTGGAAGCAGCTCTGAAATCATTCCTGTTTTTCTCCTCCCTAAACTTGTGGAGGCCAAATCCAATATGGACAATGAAGGGACAGACGGCTGCTTTCCATAGGGAGGGACAGAATACCAACACTGTAGCTGTGCCCCTGACCATCAGGAATCATCTCTGAGCCCAAGTAGGTTTTGGGATTACTTGGCAAAAAGTCATTACCATGCTATTCTCTCAAAGCCCCTCTCTGGCACATATGCACAGAAAATGCCCCTCAAATTTCTGAGGCACCATCTTTCTAAGAATGTAACCACCAGCTTCACAAAGGGGCTTACCTGGGGTCCAGAATAGGGGGACAGCTCCGTGTGGAGGACAGATCCTGGGGAACAGGCTGTCCCTGAAGTTGTGGTGCTTGGAGGCCACTGGGTATCATTGTTGCTGTGACGACTCTTGGTCTTCATGTAACTTTTGGTTTGTTTGCGAACGGAGCTTTTGCGGGCATGATCTGAGTCCTGCATAGGAGGCATGTGTTGGGAGCAACTTGGTAGTCGCAGCCTACATGGCAGTGGCCAAACCTGCTTCCAGCCTCATGCCTCTAGCTTTGCCATCTGTCCTTGTGCTGTCTTTTAGAGTCGGTGGGATTTGAAAGCCCTTTATGAAACCCCCTTTGCCACCCAGAGGCCTCCCTGGTGACTCTCTCATAGCCTGTGCCACCTGAGCTCAGGCAGTGTTCCAAGAGAGCGGGGCTTATCCCAAATCTATCAGGTGTCGCCCAGACACCAAGGGAGGGGATGCCAATGGGAAATCCAGGGAGAGACTTCACCTCATTGCTCTCCAAGGAGGCTTCGCTGCTGAGCCCCTGGGCCTTTGCCAGGCCCTCGCTGCTGCTGCTCCATACGGCCCCAAAGCTGGCACAGAAAGCAGGCTCCTCTGGTAACAGGGAAGACAGGATACCTGACCACCAGCCTCACTCAAGTGGATGGGGGGGTTATTCCCCAGAGCCCTGTGCAGTCAGCTGCCTCTCAGTAGCCAAGCCCTGCTACTGATTCCATGCTGACTTCCTGTCCCACCCCACACAGGCTGGCTAGGTGTGGTGGGTGGCTGCCAAAGTGAGTACCCCCCCCCCCCGCATGCCTAGGATGGCAGCTGTGCAGGCTGAAAAGGGCCTGCTAGCAAGGAGCTGAGCCCTGGATTTGCAGTGGCTTCCCAGCCTACATGGGGACTGGACCAGATGCTTCCCCTCACCTGCCCCATGGCAGACTCTGGTTTTCCTCACAAGAACTGGGGCCTTCTAGACCTCTCATTCTCTCAGGGAGCCTGGCAGGAGGTGGGGCGTACCCCGGCTGCTGCTGCTGCTGCTCTCCACATCTTGCTCATTGATGGGGGAGGTAACATCCCGGTAGCAGAGGCCCTCGCCTTCCAGGGGGTTCTCATCACTGCTGGTGAAGGTCACATAATCCCGTGGAGGCACCTGTTCTGTGTACAGAATGGGGCATATGAACCCCCAAGAACACGAATGTGACCATCCCCTCTGAAGGCTTTTTAGGGTGAGAGGGTACATGGCCCAGGCAGGCAGGGAGCCTGGTGGCTGCCACCTCATCTGTTTGTACAGTAAGCTGCTCTAGGCTGGAAGAGCCTGGTGGAGCAGTGCTCAGGGCAAGCCTGGCCACCTCAGGACACTGGCTGCTGCTTACTCAAAGGCAGAAGGACAGTGGCATGCTGGGCTACAGACTCCTGAGCCAGTGGAAAACCACACACATGTATGACCGTGTACACACCCACACACACACATCTGCCAGATCTCCTTTTTAAACCTGGGCATTTAGAGGTGATCAGTCCTTATTGTGTCAAGCCCAGCCAAAAGATCTGGCTGATCAAGAATGAAAAAAAGGCCCTGGGCTAAAAATGAACATCAATTAAAAAATTATGTAATCCTTAATGAAAAAACAAGTGGATTTGAGAGTGGCAGTACACACCTGTAATTCTAGCACTCTTGGAAGCTGAGACAGGAGGACTGCTAATTTGAGTCCAGCCTGGGCAATTTAGCAAATTCTAAAAAAGAGCATGGGGGTTGGGGATTGCTGAGGATGTAGCTCAGTGCAAAGACTCTGGGCTCACTCCCCTGTAGTTTTTTTTTTTAAAAAGAGGGTACCCTGACACATGCCTGTTATTCCAACATTTGAGAAACAGGAGAATCCCTTGAGACCAGGAGTTCAAAGCCAGCCCAGGCAGCACAGTGACCCCATCTCAAATCTAGCACTTCCGGATGAGAGGGCACAGGTAGAGCCCAGGAACAGCCTTCACACAGGCACATTGTGTGGCAAATGAGATCTGAGTCTAGCTTCATTTCTGTGGAGCCTTGCTGTTGTCCCACTGCAGCCTGAGGCTCAGGGACCCACGTTTCAGGGCAAGAGAGTGGTTCTGCTCTCAAGACAAGCTCTTGAGGTATGATGCAGAGAGCCCACAGGAGTGTGGCATGCTCACCATAATGAGGCTGTGGGGTCTGGCCTCCAAGACCGATGGCTGTGATCCTGGCCAAGGCTCGCGGCCCCTCATGGATGCTGAGGCCCTTCTTCCGACAAGGCCTCTGCCTCTGAGCAGCAGGGTAGGACTCGTCTGAAGAGCTCAGATCTTCATATTTTTCTGCAAGCCAAACACCAAAATTAAGGTGGTCTGTTCAGTGATGGACTGATTTACTAATCCTTATAATAACTGGAAAAAAGAACGGGTATTCTTAAATTAACAAGTATGTTCCCCAGGACTTGACTTGTGAGAAGGCCACAATTGGCAGTCCACTGCTCAGGGTACAGAAACTGAAAAGTCAGTTAGAATGAAGGATTTAAATGCTTATTCCTCTTTGGGTTTCTAAACATTTTTGTAATAATCCTGTACTGTTGTTGTTTTTTTGTTTCTTTTTGGTACCAGGGATCAAACTTGGGACCTTGCACTTTCAAGGCAGGTGCCGGAACCACTGAGCTAAATCCCTGGCTGTATTGTTTATAATCATGCAAATTTTGTTGTAAATTGGAGGAATGACTGTGCCAATTTTCATGAAATATGGTAATATTAGTCACAACTTGGCGAAGCCCAACCGACCTCCATTGCTGCTTGACAAAGTTCCAGCTGGGGGAAAGAAAGGGTGGAACACATCGTACCCTCATGTTTTATTTTTTCTTGCCATAATGTTTATAATTGTTACTCTGATCACAGGAGTCACTGTGTTTGTGACTAACAACAAACTCTCCATGAGGCAAATTGGCAATGATATATTAAAATCTGATCTGGCTCACAAGTCCCAAATTCCAGTTTCTCTTAGTTCTATTGCCACATCCACTTCTAAAGAAACCTCTCCTAAAACCCCCTCTGTTTCCCCCACTACTATGACTCCCCCTCTTATTGCTGACATTCTTTTTACTAAAGGGGTCTTATGAAGAGATTGAAAGGACAGACTTTAGCTGTAAGAAATAGTGGAAAATGGGAAAAAGAAAGAACGTTAAGACAGGTAAATGCATTAAGGAGGGAAGTTACTCAATATTTCTCAAAGTGCTGTAAATATCTCCTGCTCATGGACTATGAACCCAAATGACATTTAGTTAAGATGAACAGAGGTATAGAAAAATAGAGAGCTAATAGCAAACTATATTAACCATTGTGCAGTCTCTCAAGGGCCAGCTGACGACCACAAGTTTGACATTTAATTAATTAAATCTTGCTTGTACCCCCACTGATATAGAGATTTTGATTACGTTACCTTCTGTTCTGCTTAGGTGTGGGTAAATAAGGGGACAATTGTAATTTTTAAAATGTATTCATGATGTTCAATGAAATGAATCAGCTTAGAAAAAATATACTCTGTTTAGCAAAAAATAACCTTTACTTCAATAGAAATTGCTACGGCAACCTAAAATGTAAACATGTTCCACCCAATGCCTCCTAGCTATTGCTTAAAGATATAAAAATAAATCAGACCCTGAGACTTATCAGAGGGAACCTGAACAATGCTTGAAAAGGTTCTTTTCTCATCACCAGCCCAGGACATCTCCCCTTCCTACCCTACATCGACATCGACTGCAGCTGGTCTGCGGCAACAACTGCTTAAGCAATTGTGTATTTTCAACCTGAATGACTTCTTGGGAGCTGAACTCCACAGGCTTGCTGTGTTCATAAAGTACTTCAAATCCCTACACTAGTTCAGCTTGAAGAGCTCAACACACCCACAGCTTTTACCATTTAGTAGCTTTTCAAATTGTCATAACTGGTTGTAAACTATAAGGCAAAATTCAGGGATTTATTTGTACAAGACTCCATCTGATTCTACTTTTTTTTTTGGTACCGGGGATCAAACTTGGATCCTTGTGCTTGCAAGGCAGGTGGTGTGACCCCTGAGCTAAATCCCCAGCCCCTTGATTCTACTTTTAATAGACAAGGAGGGATATAAAGGAGGGCTAGGGGAAATCTTTTGTGTTGGTAAATGGGGCGTGGACATACAGGACCACCCCACTCTCGGAGCAGGAAGGGAGCTGACTATCTGGCCCCAGGTGGTGGCCTGGCTGGCTCACATGTGGCCTCACAGCACAGCCCAGCAACTGCCAGGCAGCCACAAGTGAGCTGGGGACCCCCAGAGGTCTTGGCTCTGTCCAAGCAGAAGATGCAGGAAGTTATAGAAACAAAGGTACAGAGGAGGAGGTGAGCGAGGTAAAGGTGGCTGCCTTTACATGTCCTCCGTGTGCTTTCAAATAAACACGCAAAGCCAGGGCTGCTCCCCTGCCACTGAGGGAGAACCTAGGCTGAGGAGCATCCAGTGTGACACAGAAGGACACAGCTAGTATTACAAGTCACAGTTCACAATGAGCCTCTAAGTAGTTTGAGTGTCACCAAAAAAGATACCAACTACATTTAAGTATCAGAAACTACAGTACATGCAAGGAAAAAAGAAGCATGAATAGGTGATTTGATGGAAAAAGATTCAGAAGTCCTTTGTAATCAAGTAAATTTACAGATATGTACAGAGTTTTACACTCAGATAATAGAGAATACAATTTCTTTTCAGGGACATACGAGCATTTAAACTACAGATAATTAGATGACAAGGACAAGGCAAATAATCCAGAAGAACTATAAATACCCTGATTAGGGCCAGGGATTTAGCTCAGCAGTTCCACCACCTGCCTTGAAGGCGCAAGGACCCAAGTTAGATCCCCACATCAACAAAACAAAGTGTTGTTTGTTTTGTAAATACCCTGATTAGATAAAGCAGAATAAAATTGAACAGAATAAAAGGAGAAATCGATCATAACTCTTAAAGGCTCTTCTGCTGGATGTGGTAGCACATACCTGTAATACCAGCATTTGGGAAGCTGAGGCAGGAAGATCACTATGGGTTCAGGGATGAACTACATAGCGAGACCCTATTTCAAAAAACAAAAAAGCCCTCCCACCTAGAAATCTGAAAGAAAACCAAGCTGGGTGTGGTGTCGCACACCTGTGCTACCAGCACTCAAGGAGGCTGAGGCAGGATAGTAAATTTAAGCCCAGCCTGGGCAACTCAGCAAGACCATGTCTCAAATTTTTAAAAACTACAATTAAAATAAAGGACCTGGAATATAGCTCAGTGTGAAAATACTGGGTTCAATCTGTAGGACTGCATAACTCTGTAATCATAAAACTCCCCTAGCCCCAACTGTGATTGAATGTGAGTAAATAGATAAAGATGCTTCTTAGTTCCAGGACACTAGATAAGATCCATATCAGCCATAATTATCCAACTCTTTGTTCGGACACCACTATCTATAGAACAATCTACAAAGCATCTGCTGACTATCAGTACATGTCAGGCTAATTAACATGCAAATGTAAGACCACTAACCTTTGTTCCCTCTTCTGTAAATTTCGCCTGTTAACTTCCCTGCAACCCCCTATAAAAAGAGCCTCGGACTGGGCTGATCACCTCTCTAAACTACTTTGCTTTGGGAGTGCCAAACTAAGGTCAGTTTCTGGCCAGACTAAGGTCTGTGTCACTTTCCAACTTGTCCGGTGTGTTCCTTCCCTGGGTGTTCTTCGCTGCAGTCAGCTCCTTGGAGCATTTGGCAAGGCCTTTGGTCTTACATTCTGGAGGTACCGCTAGGATCCCGTGCTCCACTCCAGCTCCTTGGAGCATTTGGTAAGGCCCTTGATCTTACATTCTGGAGGCACCGCTGGGATCCTCGGGTGTGCTCCACTCCAGCTCCTTGGAGCATTTGGTAAGGCCCTTGGTCTTACATTCTGGAGGCACCGCTGGGATCCCCGGGTGTGCTCCACTCCTCCAGCTCCTTGGAGCATTTGGTAAGGCCCTTGGCCTTACATTCTGGAGGCACCGCTGGGATACCTGGGTGTGTGCTTCACTATAGTAAGCTCCTCAGAGCCTTTGGTAAGGACAGCGGTCGTACAAATCTCCAGTACAGGTTTAAAAAAAAAAAGGCACTGAACTTCAATTGAACTACTCTCGGATAAAAAGGAAAATATAAAGTGCAGAATTTCTGAAAAAGAGTAACAAAAGCACTACATATCAGAATTCCTGGGATACATTTAAAGCTGCAATTAGCAAAAAAACACAGCCTTAAACATATCGATAAAAGACAAACAATAAAATGAAAATAAATTCCCAAGTCAGAAAAATAGGAAAAAAAAACCCCAATGTAAACCAAGGAAAAGTAAATTAATGAGGCACACAACTGAAAATCATCATGCTATGATTTTTGTTTTTTTCACTAAGTAGACAAAGCATTATCTAATTTTAAGACAAAAAAGACATCAAACACAAATATATAAAGAACCATTATAACAGAAGGAAGATTTTTTATTTTTTCTTATGGGTTTGTCTTGCTTTTGCAGTGCTAAGGACTGAACCCAGGACCATTTCCCTGGTCCTTTTTTAAAATTCTGAGACAGGGTCTCTTTAAATTGCCCAATTAAGCTTGAGCTCCTCCTGCCTCAGCCTCCCAGAGTGTTAAGATTACATGTGGCACCACCCCTGGCCCAGATGGGATTTTTTTTTTTGGTACCAGGGATCAAACTCAGGACCTTCGCTTTCGAGGCAGGCGGCATCACCACTGAGCTAAATCCCTGGCCCAACAAAGGCTATTTTGAAGACCTCTACAAATAAGTCCGAAATCCTAGAGGAAATGATTTCTTAGGAAAATACAGTTTACAAAAATTGAGCTTAGTAAAAGCAGAAAAGTTAGACCAATTCTGTAGGATGAATACAAAGACTTATCAAGGCACAATCTCATAAAAAGCTGAAGCCCAGGTGGAGTCATGGAGGAGTTCTATCAAACCTAAGACCAGGTGGCACCAACGTTGCACTTACTGTCCTAGAGCACAGACAAGGAAGGAAAGCTTCCAAATTCTTTTTTTTTTTTGGTACTGGGGATCGAACTTGGGACCCTGTGCTTGCGAGGTAGGCAGCGGAACCACTGAGCTAAATCCCCGGCCCATCTTCCAAATTCTTTTTATGAAATGAGTATAATATCAACACCTATACCTGGTAAAGACAGAACAAAAAAGAAAACCACAGAACAGTACCATTTGTGAATGAATGTCCACGTAAAAATATTTAAAAAAATGTTAATAGAATCCAAAACACATTAAGGAAATAATTTACCAAGTGAGATTTATGCCAAATATGTGAGGTTAGTTCATTACTAGGAAATTCATCAATATATGAAGAGAGCTAGAGAAAATTCATTAACATCTCCAAAAATGTAGAAAACGTCCTGGAAGAAATTCAACAGCAGGGCTGGGGATGTAGCTCAGTGGTAAAACAGTTGCCTTGCATGTATGAGGCTCTGGGTTTGATCCCCAGTACTGGAAGGATTGGCTATTCCTATTAAAGAGCCTGAAAGAATATAGAAACTGTCAGAGACTTTCTTAATATGATAAAAAATAATGTAAAGACCTAAATGACAGCCTTTTACTCAACCCAGCATTTCCACTTGGATCAGCACCAAGCTAAGGACATACACTATTTCCATCGTGTTTGACACTGCACCAGAGATGTTAGCAACTAAACAAGGAAGTAAGGCATAAAAGTCAGAAGTAGTGAGTCATCTTGACTTGCAGATTATACGTGGTACACCTGGGAAGTTCTAGAGAATAATGAAATTACCTAAAACAATAAAGATTTCAGCAAGGCCAGGTGTGGTACTGCACGCCTATAATCCCAGCACTCGGGAGGCAGAAGCAGGAGGATCACTGAGAGTTCCAGTGTGGGACTGCATAACTTTGTAATCAGAAAACTCCCCTAGCCCCAATTGTGATTGAATGTGAGTAAATAGATAAAGATGCTTGTTAGTTCCGGGACACTAGATAAGATCTGTATCAGCCATAAGGTCCCAAAGTAAATTATTCAACTCTTTGTTCCAAAGCACACCGCTATCTATAGAACAATCTACAAAACATCTGCTGACCATCAGTACACCTCAGGCTAATTAACATACAAATGTAAGACCACTAACCTTTGTTCCCTCTTCTGTAAATTTCGCCTATTAACTTCCCTGCAACCCCCTATAAAAAGAGCCTC